GGCAACTAAAATGGTGAAGGGTCTGGAAACCATGAATCCCTATGATGAGCGACTTAGGGAGCTGGGGATGTTTGGCCTGGAGAAGAGACATTTACGAGGAGATATGATAGCCCAGTTTAAGTATTTGAAGGGATGTCATATTGAGGAGAGAACAAGTTTGTTTTCTGCTGCTCCAGAGAAGAGGAAACAGAGCAACAGATTCAAGCCTCAGGAAAAGAGATTCCACCTCAACATTAGGAGGAACTTCCTGACAGTAAGAGCTGTTTGACAGTGGAAGACATAGCCTCAGAGTGTGGTGGGGTCTCCTTCTTTGTAGGTCTTTAAATAAAGGCTGGATGGCCATCTATTGGTGATGCTTTGATTGTGAGTTCCTGCATGGCAGGAGGATGGACTGGATGGACCTTGTAGTCTATTTCAATTCTATGATTCATTAACCTTCTCCTCTTTTATATCTCTAGCAATGTAGCTGATTCAAAATTTTCAGAATCCTAGAATCATAGAGCTGAGAAAGACACCCAGGGGGCATCCAGTCCAACTTCCAAGAAGATACAGTCAACACCCTCCCAACAGAACCCCATCCAGCCTTTGTTTAAAAACCTTTGAAGAAGGAGATTCCACCACCTCTGGGGCAGCTTCTTCCACTGTTCTTTCTAATGTTGAGGTGGAATCTCTTTTAATACAATTTGAACTCATTGCTCCAGGTCCTGGCCTTTAGAGCAGCTAAACCCAAGCTTGCTCCATCCTCAAGATGACATCCCTTCAAATATTTAAACACGGGTATCATGCCCCTTCTTAACCTTCTCTTCTCCAGGCTAAACATCCCCAGCTCCCTAAGACCCTCCTCATAGGGCTTGATGGTTTCCAGACCTTTGAACAGTTTGGCTGCCCTCCTCTGGCCATGCTCCAATTTGTGTAGATCCACTATCCAATGTGCATCACTCCTGTTGTGCATGTGGATAATTTTGGAATATTTTGGAATTCCAGATAGGGAGACTCTTCATCTGTATAACCTGGAAACATTGTTCCTTTTCCTGCCTCTCTAGTGAGCTGCAATAGGAGTGAGAGGCAGTCCTCTCTGCTCAGTTAATGCCCTGCCCCATGGCCACTTCATGGCTGTGGCAGTGGCCCCAGGGGTGGGCAACTCTGGGGGGCTGCGTGTGTTTCGCATGGGCTGCAGGAACACAGGTGGGCATCTGTTGGAGGCCGGGGGGCTAGATTGGCACCCAGGAGACCTAGGAGGGCTGCACTCCCCCCCCCCAAGAAATATGTCAATATTTGCCCCCAAATCCTCTCAAATGGTGTGTACAGGTATTTTCACCATATTTTTTTACCATCCCATGCCAGGACTTTTTTAGATCAAGGAGAGTCTTTCTTTCTTTTTGCACTGCAGAAATACTCCAGGTTGACTCCACTTTCACTGCCATGGCTCCATGCTTTGTAATTCTGGGATTTGTAGTTTTGTGAGATATAGAGCCTTCTCTGTCAGAGAGCTTGGGTGCCATGACCAACTACAATTCCCAGGATTCCATAGCACTGAGTCATGGCAGTTAAAGTGCGGTCGACCTGGATTATTTCTGCAGTGTGGATGTAGCCTTGACAAGGTAGTCCTTATTTTTTAGAAAATGGTCTCTTACCGGGGTCAGGCAGCCCGCAAAAGTCTTGAAAAATGCTCCTCCACCAAAACCTCCAGAAGGCATTTGAGGGTAAAACATGCATTTGAATTTTTTTCATGAATGGCCCTGGGCCACTCTTTGCCCATCCTTGGGCCAGAGAAGAAATTGTTCCCTGTCTCTTGTTCAAAACAAGGCGTTTGCATGCATAAACCTTCCAGCCACATTTTTTGTTGCAGATTCTGACTAGCTCTTCTTCATTTCCAGCTTGAAGTTTGTGGATCTGGTCCCGCCTGAAGTCCACTTGAAATTCTTGCCAGATGGTGGGATCGAGCTGACCGTCTTTACGAAAGTGGAACTCAAGGGCAACTCGTGAGACGACATTTTTCTTGCTCTTTCCCCCTGTTCCTGTTATTAAATCCACTCCCTCCTGCAATGTTAAAAGAAGAGGATTTATTATCAGAATTTCCCACTAATTACCTTACTATTTTCCACATAGACCTTTCTAGAAGAGTAATGTGTTTGCTAGCCAGAGATTTATTGGAAACTTAGCAGGGACACGACCTCCTATAAACAAGGACATCCTTTATTAAATGCATGATTTAGATCACTAAAGTACTGGGCACCTATGAGTAGGTTGAAAAATTATTACTCTAATCAGGTGATCCTTTTGGATTGAGGGTGTTATTGTGTGCCTTCAAATCATTTCCAACGTATGGCAACACTAAGGTGAACCTGTCACAAAGTTTTCTTGGCACAATTTGTTCAGAGGGGGTTTGCTTTGGCCTTCCTCTGAGGCTGAGAGTGTGTGACTTATCCAGGATCACCTAATGGGGTTCCATGGCTAAACGGGGATTCAAACCCTGGTCTTTAGCATCCTAGTCCAACGCTCACACCACTATGCCATGTTGGTTTACTGTGGCGAGGTGGGCAGAAATGTTTGGTTATGGGATTGCACTCCTAGGGATGCACAATTGCACCCCACTGGTTGTTGAATTTTAGACAACAACCAAAAACAAACTCAGGCCAGGTTCTATGGTGTCAAACTGCTTGCACAATGAACCATGAGTAGGTTGGCACTTATATGATGCCAGTTCACCATAGCATCACTGCACAAAGGGAAGAGCAGGGATGGTGATGATGAAAGGCAGGAGGTGACCCCCAGCCACCTGTTTGCCATGCACTGCCCCATTGCCATCAGAAAAGGAGATGGTGGCCATATAGCCTGGCCATATAGTTGGGCTTTGGATGGAGCCATCCTGTCTCCCAAGCCTAGCTCCACGGGAATCTTGAAATCAGCCAAGGCACAATGGCAGAAGTGGTTTGGAAAGTCACCTGTGCCTTCTCCAGATCTTCCTTCCCATTGTGGCTTGGCACTAAGGACTCTCCCTGGAGGCAAGCACTGAAGAAACAGGCTGCTGCTCTATATAGAAATGGCCACTGGTGCGAAGTCAAGGACTTAGGCTAGGTTCCATGGTGTCAAATAACAACAATAACAACAACAACAACAATAATAATAAAATTTATTTATACCCCGCCCCTCTGAGAACAGTCGGGGCGGCTAACAATATTAAAATACAAAATACAATCAACCCCCATACCCCCTCTTAAAAAGGTATTAAATCAAATAGGATTAAATCATAGAAATTAAATTTAACATTAAGACACCACAAGACAAACATATACATAACACGGCAAACTACTTGCACAAGAAAGTATAGCATGAGTGGGCTTACACTTATATGATGCCAGTTCTCCACAGTACCATTGCACAGCTGGAAGATCAGGAGTGATGGTGATGAAGGGCAATGGGTGACCCTCCAGCCACCTGCTTCCCATGTACAGCCATCAGAAAAGGAGGTAGTCATATAGCCTAGCCATATAGTTAGGCTTTGGATAGCCTAGTTCCTCTGCCTAGCTCCAAGGGAATTTTGAAACCAGCCAAGGCACAATGGCAGGGGTGGTTTGAAATCTCACCTGTGGCTTTTCTGGACTTCCCCTCCCATTGTATCTTGGCCTGGAGGCAGGCACTGAAGGACCAAACTGCTGCTCTATAAAGAGATGGCTGCTGGTGGGAGGCTACAGTGCAACTAGGCCAGTGTGATTTTCCATTCAGCTGTGGTGGAATAGGAACATCAACAATTTACGATATGCAGATGACACCATACTACTAGTGGAAAATAGCAAAGACTTGGAACAAACCCTGAAGAAAGTCAAGGAAGATAATGCAAAGGCAGGTTGAACATTAAGAAAACAAACAGATGATTTGAATACCTTGAAAGTAGACAATGAAGACATTGAAATAAAGATTTTTTCCATATCTTAGTTCAGTCATTAATTAAAATTATGGAGACTGCAGTCAATAAATCAGAAGAAGACTAGGACTTGGAAGGGCAGCTATGAAGAAACCAGACAAAATCCTCCAGGGTAACGATATATAGTTGAATACTGTACTTAGGATTGTCCATGTCATTGTATTTTCCATTTCTATGTATGGTTGTGAATGCTGGGCAGTAAATTAAAAAGAGAGGAAGAAAAATCAACTCATTTGAAATGTGCTATTAGAGAAGCATTCTGAGGATACTGTGGACTGCTAAAAAGACAAATAAATGGGTCTTGGAGCAAATCAAGGCTGAATTCTCTTTAGAAGCCAAGATGACTAAACTGAGACAGTTATGCTTTGGCCACATCATGAAAAGATGTGACTCACTAGAAAAGACAATAATGTTTGGGAAGGAAGAAGGCAATAGGAAAAAAGGAAGACCACAATTTAGGTGGACAGAGTCCATCCAGCAAGCCACCATGTCTTGAGACTAGAATGATTTTTGGAGGTCTCTCATTCATAGGGTCACCATAGGCTGAGAGTGACCTGAAGGCCATCAGCAACAACAACAAGAAGGGTCTAAAAACATGCAGAATCATTTTGCTAGAGGTGATTCAGTGGACAATATAATCACTTTTTCTTCTGGGTTTCCAGGTTTCTGACCGAGGCCTTGGATGTTGTGGTGGAAGTGAACATCACAGCCATTGCAGAGATGGTCAAAGACAAGTCAGGAGCTCCCCAGTTTGTGGCTCAGAATTGCCAGACCAGCATCGGTCAGATCAAGATCATAACTGGGTGAGTGTTCAATGGATCTTAATAAAAGTTTTGGGGCAGCTGTTAGGGCAGAAATGGACTGGGGAGTTTGTTACTTTCACATTTCCATACAGAAGAGCCCTTTCACATCTCCAGCTGTCAATGGACCATATCTTAGCTCAGAAGTCAAGTTAGCAATGCATTTCAGACAGAAAAAATGTGCACAAAGCCAGGAATGGGTTTCAGAAGTGCTCATGACACGTGCATATGTTAGCATATGTACCAAAC